AAGCAGCCCCTCTCCCTCCACTCGCTCAATCTCGTTTCGATCTTTTCCTTTTCCTCCCCTTCTTCCCCTTCCTCCCCTTTCATCCAGTCATCTTCACGGCGGAGGGTGACATGCGCAATGCCATAAACAACCTGCAGAGCACTTATAGCGGCTTCGGCTACGTCAACCAGGTGGGAAAGGAAGGAGTCAGGGGGAAACGAGGGCGCTCAAAGGGCGGGGGATAGGAAAACTGTGGCCTCCACCCCTTGACGCCTCAGGAAATTTTCGTGGTGATCCTTGAAGCACTCCCTCCCCTCTTCCTCCCTCCCACCTTCCCTCCCTCTCTCCCTTTTTCAACTCATTTCTCAGGCGAACGTCTTCAAAGTGTGCGATCAGCCCCACCCGCTCCTCATGAAGGAGGTCCTCGACCTCTGTGCGGGCTCCGGAGACCTCAAGGCGGCGCAGGAGAAGTAGGAAGGGAGGGAGTGTGCGGGGACCAAGGGGGAAGGGGGAAGAGGGAAGAAGGGAGAGAAAGGGAGAGATGAGGAGAAATGCTACCGGAGACGGTGGATTGCAAAAGCGGCTTGTGTTACATCCACGAGCACCCTGGGCCCGCGTTCGTATCTTATATCCCCTTCTTCCCTCCGCCCCTCGCTCCTTCTCTCTCTGACACAGGCTGTTGCGGGTATGGAACCTGGGCTACAGCGCATCGGACATTGTCGGAACGCTGTTTAAGGTGAGGTTGGAGAGCCGGAGAGAGCAAGACGAGAAGCACGAATGCTCATTTTGCCTGGGCTGTAAATGCAGGTCTGCCGGAATCACGGGACGATGAACGAGGGCACCAAACTTAATTTTATCCGGGTAGGTTGCCTTGGTTCACAATGCATCACGTTTCTTCCTTCGACTCATGGAGAGACATCTCCGCGCACAGAGGGCCCCTCCTCCCCCTCCCCTTTTCTCTTTCCCCCTCCTCCTCGCACTTTTGTCGATTGATCCCCCTTCCCGCCCTCCTTCCTCTCGTGGCTTCCCTCCCCACCCGCTTTCCACCTTTTTGCTGGTTTCTGCAGGAGATCGGCATGGTCCACATGCGCATTGCGGAAGGTCTCAACTCACGCACACAAATACTGGGCTTATTGGCCAAGCTCTGCGCCCTACAGCACAAGCAGCAGCAGCAGCATGAGAATGGAAAGGGGCAAAGCAATTGAGAAGAGGACGTGGGCCATGAAACGACTGGGGGTCAGCGTATGGAAGGGCTAGGATGCCGGCGAAAGAATGCTCTCAACCAATGACAAAATACCCGACGCATTTGGGTGCCGCGGTCGTGAGTGCGCACACATTATTGTCTCCTTTTCTTTCAGTGCTTTTGTTTTCTTTTCATCCTATCAATTTATCGTCATCCTCCTCCTCATCCTGTCCGCCACCCTCCCTTCCTTTCTCATCGTCCTCTGCCCGCGATCGTGGTCGATGGTAAGGAATGCGGTTCGTCTTCCGTATCCCGTCCTCGGCAGCCCAGGCCTACAGAATGGGAGAGGCAAGAGAGGTGGGAAAAGGAGAATGTGAGGGACACGAAAACGCCCATAAATGCACCATGGATACTCTGCCAGGACGCACATCCCCACAGGAGCAGCCTGCTTCGGATGCGATAAATGGTTCCCTGACTCCATTTTAATTCGTTCTATCTGCCTCGTCCCTTCGACTTTCTCTCTCCTGATCTGGTGATCTCGATGATCTCCAGCAGTCGTCCCCCCCCCTCCCCGTGTCTTTCCCTTTTTCTGACCTGATACGCCGGAAGCACGATCTTTCGTTGCTCTGCATCTGCCAATTCAAAATCCAGCCACTCCGCGTCCCCCTGCTCGGGGCGAGCGCCTTGAATGAGCTCCTAAGGATCAAAGGGGGGAGGGGAGGAGTCAGAAATGCAGCACAGAGCAGGGGAGATACTCTTCGCTTAAAGTGATCGATGGCCTCATGAGCAATAGAATCTAGCAGAGAGGAATGGAAGGCGTGGGAGGAAACGACGACAGGATAAACGACAGGAGGAGGGAGTCACCGCACGACATAAGTAAAGCCTGGTAAAACCCAAAAAGACGTGATTATTAATAAGAGTCAGAGTAGGTGAATTGCCAGGTTGGCCTAGGCCTCGCCATCCAATGTGCTAGCACGCTCGAGAGCATCAAGAAAGCGACTCGCCTCGCTCCCATTCCTTTTACTCGTTCCCGGCCTTGCTTTACCTCTAAATGCGCTAGATTCTTCACCGGCACGCCATTGAATTTCAGGAGACGAGCCAACCGCTCCTGGTAGCCCTCGTTTATCTCTGTGGAAGGAATGTTTGGGAAATGAAGCGAAAGGGAGGCATGCGAGACGAGCACTTGGTGGGCTGGATCCTTGTGGCCCTCTGAAAGGCGGGAAAAGCCGCTGAACAAGGAGGACATGGATACTTATCGTCACTCACAAAAAGTGAAAATGGAAATGAGAAGAATTTTTTTGAAAAGGAGGAAGAAACATAGAATTACCGTGCGGATAGATGCGCCAGAGCAGGACGTATTCCTCCTCTGGGTGCTCGCGAGGCTCTGCTTTGAAGAGGAGCTGGGTCTCGACGGGAGCTTGATTTATGCTGAGAGGGAAGGAAATAGAAAGAAAAATGAAGGCAAGTATGGGAGAAAGAGAGGAACGGGAAGGGGAAGACTGAGGGAGGGAAAAGTTTTGACAGTTTCAGACAAGGCGCTCGAGCCTCTCTCACGTGCACTCGATCTCTTTGCTCCCTCTACATTCATGTGGCCACCACCTCCATTCGAAAGGCTAATCAAAACCAAAACCCACGTGTATGCTTCTCCTGTTCCCCAATCCCTGTATCTTCTTATCCCAGCAATGTCGCGCTTTTTCTCCTCTACACTCTGCCCTCTGAATCAAATTGCCCTGGGCTATCCCAGCGTCCCTGCTCCATCCCTTCCCCTTCCCCTGCGTACCGCGCTTGATGCGCCACCACCTTCGCTTGGGAGGCAGGAAGGAAGAGGAGCCCTCCCACAAGGATGTAGCTGCGGGGAGGGGTCACGGAGGCGGAGGAGATCGGAACGACAGGAGGGACGCGTTTGGTGGGGCCCTGACAAAGAAGAGGGAGTGGGGGGGATGAAAAGGGCGGAGAGAAAAATTGGGAGATGTTCGCGCCAATGGTTTCCCAAAAAAAGAAAGTTAAATGCCCCCATTGGCCTTCCACCTCTGTGGGAGGGTCGTCTACGGTCGTCCACACCCCTCGTCTCGTCCCGCCCTCCTAGCATACCTTGAGCTGCACGACGCGTCCCTCTCTCAGCACCTTGGCCGTCAGCTCCTGGCCGTCCTCCTTCAGGTCCCAGAGGCCCCGAAGGTCCACCTGGGCGGGGGGGAGGGAGGAAGGAGGGGAGGGAGGGAGCGAGGGAGGGGAAAGTGGAGGGAAAGGGAGGTGACGCCAGGAGAAAAGAGAGGAGCGAGTGGGAGGGGTCGCGGACCTGCATGCGATCTGGAGGAAGCGAGATGACGCCTTGGTCGTCCACAGCCAGGCCTAGGGAATGATCAGAGGAAGGGGGGGGGCGAGGACAGTAGGGAGGGCGGGTGAAGGAGGTAAAGGAAGGGAGGAGTAGGGGCGGAAGGAGAGGAGGGAGGGAATCAGGGATGGAGGGCAATAGAAGGGGGGGGGGTTGATTATCCTTACCGTCCACCTCCATGAGGATGTCGCCCGGTCGGAGCGGAAGGCCAGCCTTCTCCAGCCAAGGAGCAATCTGAGGGGTGAGAGGCGAGGAAAGGGGGGGTGAAAGGAGAGGAGGAGAGGGGTGAGAGAAGAGGAAGGGAGAAGTGGGAAGGAGAACGAAGGGAAATAAACGCAGGCTTGGGAAAGCGAGAACCAGGAACCGCGACACTCCCGGTATGGGTAAGAGCGGAGGGGCATTGGAAGGGGGCCAGAGGGTTGTCGGGAGGAGGCAGGGAGGGGACAGAGGAGAAGAGGGCACAGAGTGTGGCGGGAAGCCGAGGCAGAAAACGGCAGATGCAACTTGAGCTGCAGAGAAGGAGAGAGAGACGACAGATAGAGAAAGGAGGGGGCTGGGACGGGAAGGTGGGAAGAAGCTTGCCTCTGTAATTAGCACCCCAGAGGAGGCGACACCCATCCCGAGGCTCTCCCGGAGGTAGGGGTTAAGGAGTCTCTGGAATTTGAAGGAAGGAGAGGACCCGCCTACGAACTGAAGGAGAAGTAAGGAGGGAGGGAGGGAGGGAGGGAGGGAGCGAGAGTGATGAGAAGGGGCCGAAGGAGGCATTCAGTGAGGGCCTGGACGAAAGAGGGAAACGGCAGATGGAAGGGAGCCTTGCCATCTAGCATAGAGGTCGGAACAAAGGGAAAGCGCGGGTAGCAGGAGGAAAAAGGAGAGGAGGCAGGCGTCCAATACCTGTCCGTGGGCTTCGTATTGCCGGATCATTTTCTGGATGAGGTGGGCTGGCACTGTTTGGAGAGGACAGAGTGAGGAGCGTGGGGGATGACAGGCAGTGAGATCAGATGAGGATCGAGCAATGAATGCCCACGTAGCTTCTGAGGAAGGTAAGAAGAAGGAAAGAGGCGAAACAAGGACAAGTCGATCGACGCCAGTGCTGCTTAAAGAAAGAGAGTGAAAGAGGGAGGGAAGGAAACGACGAGAATCCAGGGGTTACGGTACCAGTGTGAAGGATCGCCCTGTCTGGCTGCCCGGCACTGAGCATTCCAACCACGCTCCAGCCTGTAATTCCAAGAATATACAAAGATTTACCATCTCCTCGACTACTTGAGATTGGCAAACGGCGTTGCACACTGGCATGCGCAAGCAGCTACGTTGGGGAGGGAGGTCGGGCGGAACAGAACGGAGGGAAGGGAGGGAGGGAGGGAGGGAGGACGTACCCAGTCCCTTGGTCTGGGCGAAGACAGGACCCCCGCTACAACCAAAGGGCATGGCCGGGCCGTCCCTTCCCCCCCACCCGCTGTGACCGTTCCGATCTTATAAAGGAGGAAACAGGGAACGAGGAGGGGGGGGGAGGACGATGAGGCGAGAGGGAAAGCGAGAAGGCGCGCACTCGCCCAGCCAGGAGGACCAGGACACACGCCGTTCGCCGGATTTAAACAAGGAAAGAGAGACAAAGAGAGGGACGAAAGAGATCCTGGGGACTCACAGAGGTTCAGGTTCAGGCAGGAGGGCCCCAGAGCGTAGTCTTGGACCATCCACTCGTCCGTGGTCAGGGACTTGTTGTAGAAGCCCGCCACCGTCACGAAGGAGTCGGGTCGGCAGGTGACCTGGGCGTTCAAGGGGGCGGCCTGGGAGGGGCGAGAGGAGGGTGGGATGGAGGCATCAGGAGGACGGAGGGAGGCGGGCAAGGTGGGGAAAGAGGGGCCGAAGCCGCTGAAGGGCAAAGAGCGTCGAACAAGACAGCGGGGAGAGAGAAAAGAGGGAGGGGAGGAGCCTCGGGATGCAGCACGGCCAAGGAAGGAGGGGGAGGAGAGGATGAGGGAACGCACCTCCACGCCGCTCCAGAAGGCGTCCTCGTCGACCGTGAGGAGCGCTAGGTCCCAGTCCTCCGCCCGGCAGAGGACACGGGCGCGGTAGCCTTCTCCCTCGGCCAATCCGGCTCGAGAGGCCTGTGGGACGGGGGAAGTGAGGTCGGGGGGAAATGAGGGGAAAGGGAGAGGAGAGGAAGAATTGTTCAATGGTCGAGGCAGGGAGGACTGAGAGAGGGAGAAGGGAGTGAAGAAGGGCCCGGGCGTTGCAATGAGGAGAAGAAGCGGGAGAAGAAGGGAACAGAATCTCACAAGGGAGGGAAAGGAGGTACAAAGGCCATGGAGCATTCTAGATGAGAGCAAGGAGGGTAGGACCGCTGAAGACATTGTCGAGGCCGAAGACGAGGAGGGAGGGACAGTGAGGGAACGAGGAGGAGGGAGAGGAGGGTGCATGCAAGGCCGGGAGTGGTGAGCAGGGAGGGGCAGGGCAAGGGAAGAACTACGTACCGTGATCCGAAAATGAGAGGCCAGGACGTGGTCGGCGGTG